CAATCCTCATCGCTATATGAAGAGATGGGAAGACGAACTCCAACGCCCAATCTCTTTGGAATGTTGGCCGGTGATTTGGGATTGTGTTGCTGAGATGTCTCCTTGTGTTGTGTACAAAGAAAACATATATATAATATGGATGCCTTGGTACAAGACTGTAACGGACATGTAAAATTTATTGTAACGGACATGTAAGATTTGAGTGGAAATATGGAATCATAGCCATGACAGGTTGAGTAGTAGATTAGATGAGGCCACGCCCTTTCATTGCAAAGGTGTGTGCAGGAACAGTCTGGTCATTAAGGATGTACATTGAGCCCCTGGGCAGTAGGGAAATGAATAGAAGGTACAAATGGTCTGGGATCAGATGTGTATGTATACACAATTACTCCATAGGCCTTACAGACCCAATCATCATTTAGCATCAATTAGTCTAAAGCCAGGTTCCTGGAGGTGACACCTTTTGTGTGTCAATCAGGTTATCACCTTCTGAGGAAAACCAGTGACAGCAGACAGACTGTGTGCCTTACGTGGAAAGCTCTATAAGTAATATTCACATCAAAGAAGTATGTTTAATCTCTTATAAAAGCCAAAATATTAGTTGCAGAGATATGAACAAGCTTCCTTTGTGCAGGCCATTCTGTACACTACATTTACATATAAGAATCATATTTGTGTGGCTTGGGGAGGAGCCAGGGAAATGCATGGAATGGTTAGATGACACGGGGGTGCGACAGTCGGATGGTGTTTGGTACTGTTGCGATCGGGCTGATGCGCTGGTGTCAGAAATCCAATCCCCGACTTGGTGTTCAGGCCAGTCTCGGCCCAATTGAACTTGGGCAGGTCCATACACAGTACCTCTTGTGGGCAGGTCAGGACCACCTCCCCCAGAGTCAATTGGCCGAAGACTAATGTCCCGCCCATGTCCAAATCGCCATAAATTGAACGCACGGACATTTGGACAGGGTGATCCGTACGGAGCTGGTTGGATTGACCAATGGATTGCTGAGTTTCTGGCTTGCTCCAGCCGCAGGGTAAAGTGTTATTCTGTCTTTTTATTCCCTTTTATTTTATAGTAATCAGTCATTTGTGTGTCTTCTTATATCTTTTGTATTTCTGTAACTTTTTATCTTTTGTACATATTTTATGCCCCGCCCACTTCGGGAAATTAAATCTTAAAATTAATTAGTGAACTTCTGTGTATTTAAGCTCGGGCTCATATCTTCGGAGAGATTAGATCGGAGAGATTAGATTGTATTGTATTTTAGTGCCTTTAAAACGCTCGGTTAAGCTCATTGCCAATCTGTATGCAACTGCACTGTGAGAGTGGGCAGATTGCACGCAGATTGCAAAGGTAACAGATCTGCCAGACGGAGATCTGTGTGTGTGGGGTGTCTCAACAGACCATTCTGCGGATAAACTGTTGGGTGGTGGCAGGCTACCTTTGTGGTGCGCCTGGTGTGGGGGTTGTGTGGACAGTGGAAGGGTTATCAGCACCGGGGTTCAAGCTAGGATAGCTGAAGGGACCTTTAGAAGGGTGTGTGATTACTAAGCTGGTCCTCAACTCTAATCAGGGCACCAGGTTGTATGTAAGATCGTATCTGCCAGTGTGTGGTTGACCAGCTGGATTGGAGTGGAGTCTCCATCTGGTGGTGGCCAGAGGTAGTGCGGGCTGTGAAAAGGTATCACGGCTGATCTTATATACGGTTTGAGATATTTAAGTGTAAATCCCCTTTATTATCCCCTCTTTACCACCCTGTCGTGGCCGCACGCGTGCGTCACGGTTAGCTAGTCGCTGTGGGCGTGGCGCGTGGTGGACACGTGACAGGGTGATCGATTTAGCGGATCCTTGACAGTTGGCGGCAGCGTGCGGGATCTGCTTAGTACATTAGTGCATGGTTTATTCATGTAACCCGTGTACTAAAGGTTGGAAGCTCGGTAGAAGTGACTGACCATCAGAAGCTCACTCAGTGCATAATTTTTGTTTTGTAGAAGACATACTTGGCTATTTGCTCCCCCCCCCCTTCTTTTTTCTTTTCTATCTTTTATTTTGGCAAAACGTGAAGATGGTAACACAGGAAGATGAGATAATACGCTGGTACCTGAGACAATCCGATGAGACTTTGATTGACCTTTGTGATCTAAAGGACATCAATACAGTTGGCAAGACGAGATGCCAGCTCCTAGGTGCTCTGATAGAGATGGAGTTAGAACGGCACACCATGTTGGTGGAACACTGCAACTGTGCCACTCCAGATGACTGCATGAATCGTGTGACTCTGTTCTCAAACCCGCTCGGTACAAGAGATCAGCACTTAGAGAGAACCATGATGTCAGGAATGGACTGGCCAGCAATGGTGGGACTCACCTGCCTTTTGATCTGCAGTACCAGGGCTGGCCAGCGGGTGCTCCCAGCAATCAGAGACTCAACTTTGCAGCCAGCTAACACCTGGAACTGATTATCCTGGTGTATTTAAGGGATGGCCAGACCTGCAGACTCTGCCTTGGTGTTGTGTTTGTCCTGGGCCCTGTATCTGTCCTGCATCCTGTTTCTGTTCCTTTGCTGACCCTGCCTAATCTGAACCGCTGCTGACTTCTCCTGCTCTGATCCCGGCTCGCTCCTGACCATCCCTCTGCCTGACCCTCTGTACCACGCTGCTTGCTACCTGTTCTGATCCCTGGCTTGTGACCCTGACCATCCCTCTGCCTGACCCTCTGTACAACGCTGCTTGCTACCTGCTCTGACCCCGGCTCGTTCCTGACCATCCCTCTGCCTGACCCTCTGTACAATGCTGCTTGCTACCTGCTGAACCTGGCCTGTGACCCCGACCAATCTCCGCTTGCTCCCCCTGTACCTACCTGCCCTATTGATATTGACCCGGCCTGCCTGACGACGCTTGCTTGTATGTACTGTTATCTGTGGGTGGTTGGTTTGGTTTGTTTGCACTGTGTTATGTTTTAGTATTGCACTGCGTTTATGTTTGTATTGTTAGTGTTAATAAATTATATTGTTTATCACATATCTGAAGTCTGCGTTTCCCTGCATCAGTCACATACCTCTGGTCATACCCCGGAGCCCTGACATTACACCAAGGCCAATCCTGACCAGAAGTGGCTGCACAGGGAAGCCATCTTGGTTTGTTGATGGGAAGGATGGATCTTGATGAGGTTGTGTATTTGTCTCTGCTAGTGTTTGATGACAGAGAGTATGCTTATCAGACTCTGAAGGAGTATCCCCGGGATGAACTGCTAGAATGTATACGGGTCGCTCATGTCCTAGTAGATCAGGGCATAGAGTTCTCTGAGGTGCAGCCATTGATTGAGGTTTGTGCTGAGTTGGTTTCATCTGGTACCCCCGAATGCAGGGATGAATTTTTGCCGCCATTTAGTGCCGACCAGGTAGAGTCCCTGGTGTGGTTATTAGAGGATGATGTGGGTTACTTTCTGGAGCGTTATTCCACATGTTCACCACAGGTACTAAGAGATTGTATAAAACGCAGTGCAGTCTTTGGTCAGACAGGCTTTGTGTAAGCTCAGCTTTGTTCAACCCATACTGCAGACATGGACAGACTTGTTGCACCCAGCCTCAGTCAGCTTACAAAAACCCAGTCCTACTTCTAATCTATTTCCTCAAAGCTCTATTCCTGCATTCCCAACAGCACCTCCAGTTACAGCCCAGTATACCCTGCTACCTACCGCTTGTCAGTCCTCTGCTCCCACTCGCTGCACCTATCCTGCCTTTAACCCTGTAAAGAAGCCCTCTGTAGCGACTGTTCCCTCCCCTGTTCCATCCTCCAGCTCTTCTCTGTCTCCAGCTGCTCCATTCATTTGCAGACCTGCGTTTTACTTGCAGTGCTCCAGTAGTTAAAACCAGAAAAAAGCGAAAATTCTTTCCAACCAATACCATCCTGCCAGTATCCAAACCGGTGAGCCTGCCGTCTGAGAACCTGCCTTCTGTGGTTCAGCCTGGTGCCTCTACTCAGCCTGGTGCCTCTACTCAGCCTGAAGCCTCTACTCAGCCTGATGAACTGATCCAGCCTGATGATCCTATTAGGCCAGTTGACTCGATACCCGCTGTTGATCCAGACGATCCGGTACCTGATCCAGTGCCCGCTGTTGTGCCAATTGACTCAGAGCCCGCTGTCGTACCTGGTGACTCGGTGCCCACTGCCTTGCCAGATGACGCGGTGCCCGCTGGCGAGCCAAATGACCTGATGCCTGGTGACCCAGTGCCCGCTGTCATACCTGGTGACCCGATGCCCGCTGTCAAGCCAGACGATCCAATGCCTGGTGACCCGGTGCCCGCTGTCGTGCCAATTGACTCAGAGCCCGCTGTCGTACCTGGTGACTCGGTGCCCACTGCCTTGCCAGATGACGCGGTGCCCGCTGGCGAGCCAAATGACCTGATGCCTGGTGACCCAGTGCCCGCTGTCATACCTGGTGACCCGATGCCCGCTGTCAAGCCAGACGATCCAATGCCTGCCCGCTGTCGTGAATTGACTCCTGGTGCCCGCTGTCTGTACCTGTGCCACTGACTCAGAGCCCGCCCGCTGTCGTACCTGGGGACTTGGTGCCCACTGCCTTGCCAGATGCGCGGTGCTCGCTGGCGAGCCAAATGACCTGATGCCTGGTGACCCAGTGCCCGCTGTCATACCTAGTGACCCGATGCCCGCTGTCGAGCCAGACGATCCAATGCCTGGTGACCCGGTGCCCACTGCCTTGCCAGATGACGCGGTGCCCACTGGCAAGCCAAATGACCTGATGCCTGGTGACCCAGTGCCCGCTGTCATACCTGGTGACCCGATGCCCGCTGTCGAGCCAGACAATCCGGTACCTGATGACCCGGTGCCCGCTGTCGTGCCTGTTGACTCAGAGCCCACTGCCTTGCCAGATGACGCGGTGCCCGCTGTCGAGCCAAATGACCTGATGCCTGGTGACCCGATGCCCGCTGTCCAGCCAGACGATTCAATGCCTGCCCCAGTGCCCGCGGTCATGCCAGTTGACTCGGAGCCCACTGCCTTGCCAGATGACGCGGTGCTCGCTGTCGAGCCAAATGACTTGATGCCTGGTGACCCGATGCCCGCTGTCCAGTCAGACGATCCAATGTCTGACCCAGTGCCCGCGGTCATACCAGTTGACTCGGAGCCCACTGCCTTGCCAGATGACGCGGTGCCCGCTGTCGAGCCAAATGACCTGATGCCTGGTGACCCGATGCCCGCTGTCCAGCCAGACGATCCAATGTCTGACCCAGTGCCAGCGGTCATGCCAGTTGACTCGGAGCCCACTGTCGTGCCTGGTGACTCGGTGCCCGCCGCTTCGCCTGGGGGCCCGAGACCTGTAGCTCCACCTGGGGGTCCAGCGCCCGCCGCTCCGCCTGAGGGCCCGAGACCTGTCGCTCCGCCTGGGGGTCCGGCGCTTCGCCTGGGGCCCGAGACCTGTCGCTCCACCTGGGGGTCCGGCGTCCGCCGCTCCGCCTGAGGGCCCGAGAACTGTCGCTCCACCTGGGGGTCCGGCGCCCGCCGCTCCGCCTGAGGGCCCGCGACCTGTCGCTCCACCTGGGGGTCCGGCGCCCGCTGCTCCGCCTGAGGGCCCGAGACCTGTCGCTCCGCCTGGGGGCCCGATGCCTGTTGCCCCGCCTGGGGGCCCGATGCCTGTCGCCCCGCCTGGGGGCCCGGCGCCCGCCGCTCCGCCTGGGGGCCCGACGCCCGCAGCTCCGCCTGGGGGCCCGACGCCCGTTGCCCCGCCTGGGGGCCCGACGCCTGTCGCCCCGCCGTGGGGGCCCGACGCCTGTCGCCCCGCCGTGGGGGCCCGACGCCTGTCGCCCCGCCGTGGGGGCCCGACGCCTGTCGCCCCGCCTGGGGGCCCGGTGCCTGCTGCTCCGCCTGGTGGCCCGCTGCCTGCTGCCCCGCCTGGTGGCCCGGTGCCTGCTGCCCCGCCTGGTGGCCCGGTGCCTGCTGCCCCGCCTGGTAATCCGATGTGCCTCTGCCCGGAGTCCAGCCCGATGTGCCTCTGCCCGGAGTCCAGCCCGATGTGCCTCTGCCCGGTGTGCCTCTGCCCGATGTGCCTCTGCCCGGCCTGCCTCTGCCCGATGTGCCTCTGCCCGGAGTCCAGCCCGATGTGCCTCTGCCCGGAGTCCTGCCCGATGTGCCTCTGCCCGGAGTCCTGCCCGATGTGCCTCTGCCCGATGTGCCTCTGCCCGGAGTCCAGCCCGGTGTGCCTTTGCCCAATGTGCCCCTGCCCGGTGTGCCCCTGCCCGGAGTCCTGCCCGGTGTACCGCTGCCCGGAGTCCTGCCTAGTGTGCCAGTCTTTGATATCCCGCCAGTTACCAGACCCGGGCGGTGGAACATTTTGCCCAGCTAGGACTGTTTGGAGCGTCCTGAGGCCGCTCCTTGAGGGGGGGGTACTGTCAGGAATGGACTGGCCAGCAATGGTGGGACTCACCTGCCTTTTGATCTGCAGTACCAGGGCTGGCCAGCGGGTGCTCCCAGCAATCAGAGACTCAACTTTGCAGCCAGCTAACACCTGGAACTGATTATACTGGTGTATTTAAGGGATGGCCAGACCCGCAGACTCTGCCTTGGTGTGTGTTTGTCCTGGGCCCTGTATCTGTCCTGCATCCTGTTTCTGTTCCTTTGCTGACCCTGCCTGATCTGAACCGCTGCTGACTTCTCCTGCTCTGATCCCGGCTCGCTCCTGACCATCCCTCTGCCTGACCCTCTGTACTACGCTGCTTGCTACCTGTTCTGATCCCTGGCTTGTGACCCTGACCATCCCTCTGCCTGACCCTCTGTACTACGCTGCTTGCTACCTGCTGAACCTGGCCTGTGACCCCGACCATTCTCCGCTTGCTCCCCCTGTACCTACCTGCCCGATTGATATTGACCCGGCCTGCCTGACGATGCTTGCTTGTATGTACTGTTATCTGTGGGTGGTTGGTTCATTTGCACTGTATTATGTTTTAGTATTGCACTGCGTTTATGTTTGTATTGTTAGTGTTAATAAATTATATTGTTTATCACATATCTAAAGTCTGCGTTTCCCTGCGTCAGTCACACACCTCTGGTCATACCCGGGAGCCCTGACACATGATGTGGGAACAAACCTACAGCTTTTGGGAGGTGATGACCCCGAGGTGCAGTTTCAGCTCATTTCCGCGTTACTACAAATTGAGAGAAGGCGCAAACCCAAGATGGTCCAAGTCCAGCAGGGTAATGCATTGTTACCTCCATCTGCATCAAGAACTACAAGGGCCAGACCAACATTTGTGGAGACCTGGAAGTGTGTTACCTGTAACCAAGTGGGACATTATGCAGGGCCCTGTCCAAACGTGAGGATATCTAGCCCACCAGCAAAAGTGGAAAATGTACCCCCTACTGTGTTTCTTGTTGGAGAAAATGGAGGAGGCCGAGCGGATATCCGGCCACCATTTACTACAAGTAACAGCGTTACAGTTGGACTACAAGGTACGGGATCAGAGAAGGTCCTAGCTCATCCAGAATTGAGGAGCTGTGAGGATGTGATCCCAGTGGAAGCCATGGCTGGCACAGGGGTTGGAGGAGCCATCCCTGCAGTGCCTATGGCTTGTGTTTCTTTGAGCCAGGAGTCTGGAAGTCAAGTGGAAGAAGTGGGTAGAGCAGATCCCACTAATGAAGGAGGCCATGTGGAGAGCCTGCAGCCAGTCACTGCAGGCAACAATGTTTCAGCTGGACTCCGAGATAAGGGACCCAAGGATATCCTAGCCCTTCCCGGATGGAAGAGTCGTGAGGATGTGGTCCCAAAGAAAGCTACAGTTATCATAGGGGTTGGAGGAGTCACCCCTGTACTACCTGCAGCTTGTGTTGCTTTGCCCCAAGGATCCAGAAGCAAAGTGAGAGAAGTGGGCGTAGCAGCTACCACGAACATACTGTCGGGTACTGACCTGGGGTGGTTGGTAACCCAGAACAAGTCTAATTCAACACCCCTGAAGTCTACATTTACACCCGAGGCCTCGGATTCACGTAATGTACTGTTGAGTGACTCAATGCACACTGGGAATTCTGGGGAGGGTCAGGGTGTAAAGGACTGTGTACCAGGGCCTGGCTCTAGTGGATGTCTGGGGTCAAGGCCTGGAGAAGAGTTTAAAATCGCAGAGGACTCTGCAACTGATAATGTTTTATGTGATGATAAATGTAATGACATGTGCAAGGCAGACCTTCCCTCTGCTGCAGTGGTGACTCGGGGTGCCCGCCAGGTGGCCCCGGACCAGTCATTGCCCACTGCTACAGAGGAACTGTCTGTGGAAGGGCCCAATCTAGCTGGGTTGGACCCTTGTAAACCTGGCTCAGAAGGCCTAAGGTCTCCTCAGACTGTTGTCTACCTGGCACCTGTGGCAGATAGCTCTGAGTCCCCTGGAGCTGTGAGAATTGACGGCAGCCCAGAGGATCTCAGGGGTCTGGCTGAAGGACCGCCAGTGATGGATAGCAGGATGGGGGTGCATGGACAAAAGGAATTTGGTTGTTTACCCCTATGTAAAGCAACAGGATGTTCTTCTGAAGTCCCCGGGAAAAGGCACATTGGGTTTCAGTAGACCAGTGTTGTGTGCCCCTCGCCCCTTGTGGGATGAAGTTCTCTGTTGTCCGCTCTCCTGACACCACAGATACCAGTAATGCCATTTTGGATCCTGGGCTGTGGTGCACAGAGGAGGGACCACAGGGTGAGGGTTTAAGTCTGATTCATTCTGACTCTACCCCCTCAGTAGCTGTGGCTGACGGCACCGAGTTTCCAGAGGCTGTTACATTTGATGCCAGCCCAGAGGAACTCGGGTGTGCTGACAGACGCTCTGCTGAGGAGGGGGTAGAAGTGTGTGATATGGGTCAGAGGACAACCCCTAGTGGAATCCTTCCTCCTGTTACCTTCCCCTCTGTCACCCCAGTCACGGGTACTGCCAGTGCAGACCCATTTCTGTGTGTTGCAGAGGGAAGTCTGTGTAAGGGGTGTAGAAAATAGGCAGCCCCATAAAATTTAAATCCAAAGCCTAATACCTAATATAACAATAATCTATCTTTGTCAATAGAGGATACTAGTGATTGCATTTTTATTGTACCATCACAAGAGGGCAGAACTACTTCCTGTGATAATAGGAAGACACAGAAGTAGGAACTAAAAAGCTAACACTTTGTTTCCTACAGGACAGTGATTACAGTGAACATATCCAGTCACATGTAATTAAGGGTTTTCTGTGTTTGTTACAGGTAAGCAGGAGGCTGTTTACA